GAGTTGAACAAAGTGCTGTACATCAACAACTGTATAAAAACATAGCATAAATACATAAAAAACAGACAGGACATGAAACAAATGTAAAACACGAAACAATGAAACCAGATCAGAAGGCACAGACTGAAAAACTCTCCTACATGACGTACAAACAATACAAAACACTAGTAAGATAAAACCCAAATTTAAAAGCACAAGTGTCACCTGGTCTGTAAATGCCAGGGAAAAGAAGTGGGTTTTTAAACAAGATTTCAAAACGGGCAGAGTTGGAGCAAGTCTAACCTGGAGGGGCAATTCGTACCGTAACTTTGGAGCTGCAACAGCAAAGGCTCTGTCTTAAGTCTTAATTATGATTTTTGGCTACTTGTACCTTGCTTAAAATGTTTTATTTAAAATTCAGATCTTTAGCTTATACAAAATATAAATAAACAAACTTGTTAGTAAACAAACTAAGATGTATAATTATATGTTAAAATCTCCAGCAGTGGTATAAGTAATTAATTAAGTATAGCTCCACATTTACCAGATGTGATGAACACATTATTGCATAACAATTATAATCCAGTAGTTTAATATATATGATTCTAGAGAGAGAGACCAGTTTCTATGAAGAGTGTCTAGACCAGAGGTGTCAAACTCAAATACACAGTGGGCCAAAATAAAAACATCGGTACTAGTCGAGGGCCGGACTGGTTCAATGTTTATTGCAGAACTTATTGAAATGAACTCATTGCACATATTAAACCTGGAACTAACAAAACTTAAATGATTGCCTATAAAAACAACATTAAACATTAAATAATCAGTTGATTCATTTCTTATGGCTCTATCTGCAGCTTCTCCAGAGTCATTTCTTATGATTACATTTTCCCTCAGGCCAACAACAGCTTCAACAAAACTATTTCCCTCAAAGAGAAACCAAACATGCCCTGTTGTCGTGAGAGAGAAAGTGCAGAAGGAAACATCCATTAAACTCAGTGTGCTGCTCTGTGATGCTAGTTCAGATACTTGGCATCTCATCTTGGGTGCAAGGTCATCAATGTTTGGGCTCAGGCTCTGAGCTGAGGAGACCCTCAGGATGGAGTGAAGGTGTGCGTGCAATATACCGGAGGGCCAGATCTAATAGGAATTAGAAACTATCCTGCGGGCCGAAATTAAATCCACCAAGGGCCTGATTTGGCCCCCGGGCCTTGAGTTTGACACATGTGCTCTGGAAGCACCACTTCTACCAAAGGGAATTCCTCGTATGTGTAAACCTACTCAAAATGATTCTGGTATTTATATCTGATTAAGTGGATGTACCTCTGCAGCTCGTTCCTCCAGTTCTCCATGACGGACAGCGGGCTCAGAACCAGAAAGGGACCGCTCTGCCCGAGAGACCCGGACATGAACACCAGCAGAGAGATGGTCTGCAGGGACAGCATAGTATTATACTTTAATCATATTTAACATGATTTAAATATATATTTTAAATCACTTATCCGATCGTTTTTAATCTTTATAAAAATCATAATTTCATTTATTTATCTATTATGTAAGATTTTATTTAATTCCAATCCTATAATGTTTAAATGTATTAAAGCGCACTTTGTAACTCTGTTAACTTTACTGATAAACCTTAATATAGTTTCCTGTAATCTTCTGCATCTGCTCGGTTACACAAATAGAAAAAGCAGGTGGAATATAGACGACCAGTGTCCGTACCAGACCACAGGCATCGTGACTTATTGAAGTGTGACGACCCTCATGATTGGTTATAAGAGGAGCCGGTGGATCAGTACCTGGCAGGTTTTCCCCAAACCCATCTCGTCTCCTAAGATGCATCCTTGCTGCTTCCTCTGACACTCAGACAGCCACTGAACCCCGTCCAGCTGGTAGGGCCGCAGCGTGATCCCTGAGAGAAGAGAAACATGTAGACACATGTTAGGGATCAGTGTGTGAGGAGACAAGATGTTAGGAAACAGTGTGTGAGGAGAGAAGATGTTAGGAAACAGTGTGTGAGGAGAGAAGATGTTAGGAAACAGTGTGAGGAGACAAGATGTTAGGAAACAGTGTGTGAGGAGAGAAGATGTTAGGAAACAGTGTGTGAGGAGAGAAGATGTTAGGAAACAGTGTGTGAGGAGAGAAGATGTTAGGAAACAGTGTGTGAGGAGAGAAGATGTTAGGAAACAGTGTGTGAGGAGAGAAGATGTTAGGAAACAGTGTGTGAGGAGAGAAGATGTTAGGAAACAGTGTGTGAGGAGAGAAGATGTTAGGAAACAGTGTGTGAGGAGAGAAGATGTTAGGAAACAGTGTGTGAGGAGAGAGGAGGTTAGAAACATCTCAGGTAAAAAAGTGTACTTTCTCCTTTCCTCTCAGTACGTACTTGGCGGCCCTCTCTCAGTGCGCACCGTGGATCACTGTGATGCATTTCTGCAGGTCTTCCAAAAACCTCAACAGGCCTTTAAAATATTACAAAAATCCCCAAACTATGTAACACCCTACCAAGAAGTATTAGAGGCAAACTGAGGAGACAGCAGATTCATTAAAAGCACTATGAGATGCATTCTATGAATTAAACAAATACAAATAAAGCTGTGTGATTATTATTAAATACATATTGAAAAACACCTCTGAACTCTAGGCAGCAGAAGTACACAGTAGCAGAAAATGGAAATACTCAAGTAAAGTACAAGTACTTCAAAACTGTACTTAAGTAAAGTACTTCAGTAAATGTTACTTTACACCTCTGGTATGACAAACGAAGAGTACTATCTGTTAAGCAGACTGACTATCTTTCTGGCATATTTAATGATATGTTGGTTTGGATATGTAATCATTAGAGATGTAGGCTGTTGGGAGGCGTGTGGCGCAGTGGATAGGGTGTTGGTGTTGTGATCGGGGAGCACAGGTTCAAACCCCACTGCAGTCAGTATGTCGTTGTGTCCCTGAGACACTTCACCCCAAAGTGCTCCTGTGGGGATTGTCCACAGTATTGAGTATGTACGTCGCTTTGGATAAAAGCGTCTAACAAGTGACATGTAATGTATAAGAAGCATCTCTTGGAATCAGAAACAGTTTTACACATAGGAATGATCTGCCTTGGTGCGCATGGTACATTTTAACAGTCAAACTTCGTACCTGTTAACCCGAGCTTCTGTAAGTCAGTCTGAGAAACAGAAGTCTTCTTCTTCTTCTTCTTCTCCTCGCTGTGTTTTATCTTTGTTAGCAGGTCAGACATGTTTACAGAGCTAAAGTTAGCAGCTAACAAACACAACAACAACAAAACTTAACTTCCCTCCATGAGACGAGTGCAGTGCAGAGACTTCCGGGTAGAGTCACGTGACGCAGGGGAAAAGCGCGCATTCGTCTGTTTTTTTATTCTTTTAAACAAATCTCCTAAAACTAGTTTTTCCACATCTCATTATTAATCATCATGACAAATAGTTGGTTATCCATCAAGTATATCATTTTAAAATTAAGTCTATTTTATTTGTTATTGCTCTTTTTGAAAAATAAAACATAAAAACATTGCGCGCGCACACACACACACACACACACACACACACACACACACACACACACACACACACACACACACTACAACATTCCCTCAAATGATAAGCACTTTCTTGCAAACATACACACATATTCCCTGCTGTTAAATACTTTGTGATTGTGTCCCAGGCTGGATAGAAGGGGGGGGGGGGGGTTACGGGAGGTACAAGACCCTGATCTGCACTCTCATTTTCAGCCTGGAGATCTGCACCCGGGACATCTGGGTCACATCATTACTCCAATCTTCTGCTTGTTCATTCCCAGCTTTAGAGGGCTTAGAGTGACAGACCTGCACACAAACACTCACACAGAGCACACACAACACACGTCCGAATACACAGACAGGCCTATATATACAGCATGTTACAGTCATGTACAGTGAAATACATCATGTTTAAAAAAGATTGATGGTTTGAGTTAACAGATGTTAAGATGCAATGATAAAATGAGCACAATGTAGAGGTTCTTCAAAGGATTGCCAGGATAAAAATATTTCTGAATGGTTCAATTTAAAATGCCACTTGTCAAGGCAAAGCAAGTTTGTTTATAGCACATATCAGCAATAAGGAAATACAAATTGCATTTATAAAACAATGAAATACAAAAATAAAAATAAGGTACACCACAAAATGATATTCAAATGCAGTTGAAAACTGTCGCCAAAGGCCACAGAAAATGGACATTTAAAACAAACTAAATACAGAATAACAGTAAGAGAGCAGTGTGAGAAATTCATTTGTATCTGATTCAATAAAAGGCAGCAGCAGACAGAAAAGCTATAGTTGCAGCCAACCTGCATTTTTTTCTGGGATTTGTTGCAAATATATGGTGCATATAAACTAAACGCTGCATCTTTAGTTTTGACTCTGAGGACACACATAGATAGTCAATAAATAGATGTATGAATACAAATTATTGTAAGAATGACAGGAGGTGGATTATTCAAAAATGGTTCTGCACAGTCACCCTTCCAAATGTTTATGAGGAACATAAATGCACGCACCTTTAGATAGAAATACTTATTTAGAGCTACGGGACTCTGTTCAGCGCAGTTATACCGTCCTCTAGTGGTAAGAAAAAAGAAGTTTACAATAGTCGCAGTTTTGACTGTCGGCCAGCAGGGGGAGCTATTGTTCAGCACAACTGAGAAGATCGAGGTGGAGTACAGTTGACATGAGTACCTTTTTATATCATTATAGATCGTTTGTAAACTAATAATAATTACAACAAATAAAATAAGAAGGAGCATAATAAGTACTTGGTCCATCATCCATTGATTAAATGTAGCTTAATATATTTTATATATGGGTATTATAATATATATTGTTATAATAACTATGTTACGTTAAACGTTTTGTTATGTTATATTATATAACTACATATCAACATACTATATATATATTATATCCCATACCATATTATAGCCTATTGTATTGTGTAATACTGTGTTAGTCTGTCTTCTTTTACATTATATACCATAATATGTAGTAATCCTAATAATAGAGACAAACACGAGTTAAAGTTGAATGACTTAATAATTGTTTACGACACTGTCACTTTTGCTTTGTAATCTCGTTATGTAGCCTATTTTCTATTTTCACTTCATTTTATTTGTAGTTACATATAGCCTACCTCTTTTATCTTATCTTTTATCATTTCTAACTTCAGGTTCTGATTAAATAACTTGCCAGATCAGCGCTTTGTACGGCGTAACGTCCAAACTGTTCAGTAATTCAACACGTCCACAGTTACTTCATGTAAACACACCTGTTGTCAGGAACTAAGAAGCTTTTCTTGTGTGTATTTGGAGAAATAGCACTACTTCGAAGTACCCCAGTTGTTGTGGGGGATCACTGTGTGACGTATTTTATATGCGGCGTCCCATTTTAACCAGGTGATGGTCAATCCAAAAACTGTGCTCCAGGTGAGGCTCGAACTCACAACCTCGGCATTGCTCTGCTGAATACTGTCATATAAGTACCGCGCGCTAACCGATTGCGCCACTGGAGCTTCGGCGGTAATCGGCTAATAATTCGATTCAAGAATGACACGAGCGCCTGTGACAAACAAACATATAAGATTTTGATAAACTGTTTTTATTTGGGCTGATAGTCGTATTGAAAAGTGGTACAAGTAATGAAGAGAGCGTGTGAGAACTTCCCGGGGTGCATGTGGTGACTGTGGTCACTCAGAGTCCTGCACAGAATGCTGCGTTCAGGCACCTCTCACAAAGCTCCGAATTTCAACTTCAAATGAGTATCTATGGCGTATATGTTTTAGATTTCTCTTTACAGGATCATACTGAGGAACCTTTAAGCAGACAGCCCATATATCATCTTTATTAATGGTGTCAGCCATTTGAGGTAAAAAAAATAAAAAAAAAAGCAGGAGTGAAGTCTAAACTGAATGAAAATGTAAAATGTCAAGACAACACAGCAGCAAGGTCCATTATGCTCTTTGAATTTGAATGTTCTTGGATTAAATAACGTTCAGATGTCCAGATACATTTGAGCACTATAGTAACAGTAAAAGTAAAACAAACTCCAATGTGCAGCGGTAACACAGGCCTATATTAGGCTATGTAGAAAAAATGACATGATGAACATGTTACATTACATTAAATTACATTGCATTTAGCTGACGCTTTTATCCAAAGCGATTTACAATAAGTGCGTTCGAGTGAGAGTGTTAAATCTGCTGAGGCTTTTCTAGTCCCCTGAAGTCCCACATGACTAGCTGAAAGACAAATCCATTTACAAAGTGTCAGGTTCGATCTAAATATTTTCATTCACACTCTGCCTTTTTTATTATGATTTCCACATTCAGGGGCAAGGGAATTTCTGTATAGAAAATATGATGAAAACAAATAAATACAGCAGTTGACTCACATTTTATTCCATTTTAAAGCTACAATGAATGAAAAACATTTCACACGCACGCACGCACGCGCACACGCACACACGCGCCCACACACACACACACACACACACACACACACACACACACACACACACCTAAAACACTGAATTACCTTGAGGCAGACTAAGCTTCCAAGAACATGCTTTATATCCTGAGAGCACTCACTCTTCATCACTGTTTCAAATCATCATATCTTTTGAGGGTATTTTCTGATGTCCACACACAGGCCACAGTGTGTATTATTTATAATGCTGGCTGTCAGGATGTAGCACCACAAAATGACACACTGAGACTCGACACCATAATCTTGCATTGTGTTGTTGTTTTTTTATTATTATTATTCTCATCATATTCATAATTCAACACATGACACACAGGAAACACTAACATAAACATTCTGAATGAAAGAGAAGAAATCATCAGCGGAGGCTCTCACCTCAAAGACATGCGTCGGCAATGCCAGTTTAAAAACTCATAATTAAACACACCTGAAGGCTGGGTTTGTTAACCTGGCATGTTTTTGAGGCAACGCCCTCTGGCAACATGCAGAAGGAACTGGATAAACTTGACAATTGGCTTTAAAGAACAATGAGGGAATATTAGCAAAGAGCTCATGGAAAAGCCTCAAAACGATGCCGGTGCATCCCAGCCTTGAGGAAAGTGTGACAGATCCATGCCCTTTTCTGTTGCAAAGGAAGTGCTCTAGTACCCATGTTAGGGCTAGGTAGGTACAGTCGGCCATATAAATACGATGAGTAGATTTACAGTACTTTAATGAGATATACAATATATTATACAGTGATTCATCACAGAGGCGTATCATGTAAGCTCTCTATATCTTTGCCTTGTTATATTTTCAAGCCTGCAGATTTGTAAAGTAATGTCACCAGGTCATTATTATTGAACACCAGCTCCAGCTCCTTGATTTAAAAAGAGGGTGAAAAACTGCAGGTAAAACATAATTAAAAGCAGCCATTTTTTAAAAGAAAGGCCGCTCGTTCAGTCTTCTTAGTGCATTCTCTTTTTAACGTCAGCGTTGGACACTTGCCTCTTCTCCAAAATTGAAAAGACCCCACAAATGCAAACCCAGCCCCCACCCCAACCCTAATCATAATCCAACCCCATGCCCCCACCCAAAATAACTTTAAACAAACTGATAAAACTTCACAACAATTCACGATCAACACAAAGAAGTCACATGAAAGATCCGTCGTTATGTCCAACCATAAAAAACTAAGAACAGCACATGGCTCAACATCCCCTCGCTCTCACACACACACACACGCACGCACACACGCACACTCTCTCTCTGCCACACACTTGCATGCACCCAAATATAGTATTTACACTTGAAAACACATTCCCAGGAATAAATTCAGGCAGCACTTGCAGTCAGGTCAGGTGTTTCTATTGCATCACGGCTCATTACATCCTTCTGTTGCCAGCTTATTTTAGAGTTCAGGATTATTACGACGTTTTAAAGGAATAAAGGAACTTAATGATAGAATATGAGGTGAGAATCTGTTAGTATGTATGCAGCAGGGGGGTCAGAGGGTCAGTGTAGGGTCAGTCGTGGATGACGATGGGGCCTCGCATCCTCAGGCTGGGGTGAGGGTGCGGAGGGGCGAGTACCAGCCCCTGCGGCAGGCCCTGTGGGACCCTGCGCAAGGTGATCTGCTCGCATGGCTGCCGACAAGCGTGCCTCAGCTGGGTGCGGGACAGCAGCCGCCTGGCCCTCCTGGAGGGAGGGAGACGACACAGGGCATAAGTGCACATGAAGATATACAGATGTGAAAGCTCCTTCTTGACCTTGGAGACAGTAGAACTAGTAGTATTATACAAATAATCTCACACGTTTGCCCAAGTAGCCTAATGTTTCGAAAACCAGGAATGCTTTTTTAAACCAACATTGATGACAGGTTTGTAAAGTGTTCTGGGAAAATTCTGTGCAATGACAATAAAGTGGAATTTAAAGGTCCCATGACATGCTTTTCCGGTTATTACCCGTCCCCTTGTGTGTTATGAAGGTTTTTATGCATGTAAACGGTCTGCCTCTGCAGACCGTTTACATGCATAAAAACCTTCATAACACACAAGGGGACGGGTAATAACCGGAAAAGCATGTCATGGGACCTTTAAATTCCACTTTATTGTCANACTGATCTGTACACAGGACTGATGTGCGATCTCTATTTTTCAAAAAGATTATACATTATCATTTCTATTCAATTTTACTTGGAGTATGGTTTGCTAAAATAAACAAACGTGCTATATTTATGATGAAATATTAGCGAGTGAGGGTTGCAATACCCTTGGCAATTGTTGCTTCTTGAGGGGAGTTTCCACTGCTTGCTACGATAAACCAGGTGTATTATGACTAGTAAAGACAAATAATTAACAAATAAATATTTGTATTGACACAGCTACGTGTACTCTGGTGTTATTAGACTTGGCTACAGACTTAGGGCAGCTGTAACTGATTGCAGTTGCCACTGCTAGTGAGATGCTAAGGTTTACTTTATAAATTAGGCAAAGGACAGTTATATTTGATTTGCCCCATGCCTTCAGCAGCAGCAGGCCATTCACTTTGATTTTATCCCGTTATGAAATGTCATAATTTCGACAATAAAGAAAATGAAATGCTACATAAACTTGCACGTTTTATCGAACCATCTCCGTTTCTAACTTTCAATATATTTAAAAAGAGATCTCTCTCTCATCTGCGTGCGGGGGCGGGGCCTCACAGACATGCTGCTGCGCTGTGCACACAGTTCTGCCGGTAATGAATATTAGGCTAAATTTTGTGAGGAAACTTTTCCACCAATAATTCCAATAAGTATTCCAAAATGTATTCACTTCAGGAAGTGACTGTAATCAGATTAGTTGTTTTTCAAATGTAACGCGAGCTGAATACAGTTAGGCTACTTGATTTTTGTATTCTGATTACGTAACGCCGTTACATGTATTCCGTTACAACCCAGTGTGTACAGATCATCAGTCCTGTGTACAGATCAGTTCGATAAAGTCATGCCTAAACAGCGACATTTTACAAGATAAATACGGGTTAAAATAGCAGCATTTGCCACGGAAGGCGAGTGGCAGCTACAGTAAACCTTCTCTTACTCTGGCATCTTGTGGCGACTCCCGTTGAGCAGCGGCAGATGCCTCGGCAAGTTGTGGCATCTGTGGCATATGCCGGAAGTACTTGCCACAGATACCACAGAGTAGCGGCCTCTGTGGCAGTTGCTTGCCACTGCCTGCAGATGCCACGAAATGCGCTTGCTGTCTCTCACAAGAGGGTAACCATTAACACACAACAAGCGAACATACTGTACCTGTAAAACTCATGATCCCCAGGTCCATCAGCCTCAGCTGCACTGGGTAATTAGTGCTGACAGGTAAATCTCATTATGCTGAAATGCTCAACTAAGATCAGTGAACATGGTAAACACTGATATTGGTATGCTGATGATAGAAGTTGTCTTTTTTAATCATATTTTTTCAGGGTTGGTTTCCCTCTTTTCTCATTTAAATTGACGGCGCCTTCTGTGTAAAACGTCAAAGCTTTTTTTCAGCCCTCCACCTTACCTGGAGCTGTCGGGAAAGCTGACAAAAACTCAATTTACAGAGTTTATACATGGTGACACAGAACCTGCCCTGCATTACAGGATCTTTATAATGTATCTGTATGTGGCTGTTTAAGCATTCCTCTTGTGAAAGGCAGAGGAAGATGTTCAGTCCTCTTTACATCTTAAGGTCAGCTGACCCTGTTTGACCCCACAGGGGCTGAAGATGATGTGCCAATAGAAAAACCAACAGATTTGTTAGCAGGATGAGAAACAGACTGCTCCTGTGCTATCCCTCGCATTCTTCTTCCTCCCACTCCTTCTCTTTCACGGCGAAGGATGTAACCTTGCACAATTGAAATGTCAAACTGGTTGATTTTGCACGAGCATCACATTTCAAACGAGACTCCTTGCGTCTGAATTTGTTGTCATGGCTCCAAATGAAAGTTTAAAAGGATTGCAATATCCATACATGGTGAAATACAATATACTGATGGACCTCTGAAATGTGTGTGTGTGTGTGTGTGTGTGTGTGTGTGTGTGTGTGTGTGTGTGTGTGTGTGTGTGTGTGTGTGTGTGTGTGTGTGTGTGTGTGTGTGTGTGTTGTGTGCATCTCAGCATATGATTTTGAGTGGAGTAATTTAGCAGATGAGCGTGTGGCCATTGTTAGAGGGATAATCTGGCTCTTGCTGCTCAGATAGGTTAACACCCTTTTGTCACGGTTTCTTTCCTTTAATTCGTCTTTACTCGGGCTTAAAATTTTGGAAAAGTTAGGTTTGACCCATATGTTTAGACCTCTTTTTCTTTTTTTGTGTTAATAAGTATAAAAATTTCAAATATCTCGACAGTCCGACACTTATATTAAGATGAAATATATTTCATAATGCGCGTAAAAAAGAATACGGAAAGTTTTTACTAACCGGGGGAAAAGTTGCCAAATTTCCGTGTCTTTACCTCTTTTTCAATTTTTAAGATTGATTTGGGTTGCAATCCTCCTTATGAAAATTATAATGTACAATTAAAAATCCGTCGTAAACCGATTGTTTCAGTGACTAGAGCCTAGGTTTCGTCAAAAGTGGGTTTCCTTAGGCTGGATTTAAGTAAACAAGACAGGAAACTATAAAAACAAACCGAACTTTCTAATCTAAGGTTTTAACTAACCTGATTATCTTCACAACATAAACGATTGTTTTTCTTTTTTCTACGAACCTTATTATGCACCTTTTTCGTTCTGATTCCCATCTCCTATCTAAGTGTTTTCATCCCTTTTCCTATATCTTAATTAAATCGGTTCTCTACTTTCACTTCGTTTCAGCTCCAGTACCTCTCACTTTTCTCCTCCTTTCGTTTCCCCCCCCCCCACCACGAGGCTTCCTTCACCTCCCTCCTCCCCCCCCTTCGACACGACAGACCCACAACCAAACCCCATTAGACCAGATTAGACCGGACGGTAAATTGGATAGACGGTCGAGTCGCTTCTCGGTCTTAGCGAAATAGCGGACAATTGTTACGGTGTGCGAGTAGACGGATTTAATGNCCTGGGTTCTGTGCCGTGTTAATACGCAAATCAACAACAAATGACCGGATTGGCCCAAATGGACCATTCCGCGGAGTACCTCACACACCAGGATCCCTTGGCTAACTAACAGGGAGTCCCCATTGACTTGCATAGAGCTCCCTGAACGCTGGTAATAGGCGAGTTGGGATCGCGGAGAAATGCTCTCCGCAGACCCATTCTCACAGCGTTCCAAACCTTTTTCTTACTCAATATCAAGCCACACTTATTGTTTTTACTTCGGCTGTGAGTGTTTGTGTGTGCTCAGGATGAGTTTCGCTGTGTCTCGCCGACCTGGAAACCTGTCCGCTCCTCGCAACGTCCCGACCAATCAGAGCACACTGGGCTCACAGGGAGGGGGGGCAGGAGCTCCAACAACCCGTTTAGGACAGAGAGTGAATACAAATACTATACAGAGATGCTGTATGAGAAACCAATGTGAGTTTGGAAAATTGCACAATATGAATCTATTCTAGTAGACCTCAACAATGGAAATATGATCAGTAGAAATGGCCATGTCATGGGACCTTTAAAGTAAATAGGTCTTGTGGTGATTTTGTACTGTCAATCAAAATGTGTAATTCAGATGGTTCTTTAGCTTTTAGGCAATGCAAGGCTAGCCGTTTACAGTCTTTGTGCTAAGATAAGCTAACCAGTTTTTGGCGGTGGCTTCATATTTAGCGTACAGATAGGAGCGAGCGGTCTTTTTAACTCTAAACAAGGAGCATAAGCAGATTTCATAAAATGTCAAAAATGTTTTAACATTATACGGACTATGATTGCATGCCTGTGTTTTGCTTTCAGGAAATGTGTGCTTTTAGAAATGATTTTTATTTACTAATGACTTTATTTCTTTATATGTTAACCAGGAAGTCTTCTAAGATACATGTTATTTTCTACAATCCAAAAGGGAAACAATAATTATAATATATATATATATTATAATAATAATGTAATTTAATTCTTCAGAAAATATATTTTGAAGGTGATGTTTGAGAGACTGATATTTAATACAAATACTGGCCAATAGTAGCAAATCATTGGATTTTGTGTATGTTTGCAATGTGTTGTGCAATGTGTATTGTATCATGTACCCTTGCAGTAAATCTAATAATTCATGACTGCATGTTTATGTTGAAGCAGCTAAGCCTGCGGATAATGTTTGTCTAATAAATTATTTATACTAGGCTGATCAAAGGCTTGATGCTTTGAGAACAGCCTGCGGTAAAAAGGGCTGCTTACACTAGAAACAATGATGAATCTGGCATGGGCTCTGGGCTTTATGCGACAGCTGATTTGTCACGTATGCTTTTGGTTTACAGGTACTTTGACAATGATGTATGCTACTGGACTGAGGTAATTAATCACTAAGTTTCCTTGTACACATTTTGAGATGAGTAGACCTTTGACTCTTTAGCGATGTCTCCTCTCTGTTGCTGTTTTCTGCATATCTAACAGGAAACTAAAGAGAGAAGACTACTGTGGTTTAAATGATGAAATACATGACTAAAGTTGAGTTAAAGGGGCGACAAGTTGAGGTTCCAGGCTGTTGAGAAATTCATTAAAACAGCCACTCTATCTTGTTTTCTGTGGTAGAATTATACTCTGTTATGATTAAAGCGAAGGGGTTACTTCTCTGCAGGATTTTCAGACTTAAAATGAACTCGCTGGTATTATCAAGACTCAGTGGGCTTTGTGCTGTGACGGAAAGGCTCTGTCAACAGCCCACATGCAACAACAGCACTGCATAGCCGTGAGGTGCACTCTCTAGTGTTGGATGCAGAACTAATGGGATTCATTCATATACAGACAAAAGTAAGATACATAACGAAAACATATAGTTTATTCATGCTCTCCTTCAGGCGGAGGAGAAAAAACACTTTCCCTCTTTCTATGTCCTGAACCAGAAAACACATCAGTTTCCTCCAGATCCCCAGCTGTAAGACAAATGTGTGCTAGAGCACTCTGGAATTCTCTGCAAGCATACCTGTAAAACCAGGTATGGTCAAAAGGCCTGACATTGTATTTACACATCATTCAAGTACAATGGACCCATTTAATACACAGCAGCATGGTCTGCTTAATGTCACTTAGAGCTAGAGTTTGAGCCGAATACAAAGCGAGGAAGAACAGAGCAGATTTAGCTCTGCTGGCTCATTATCTAAAGCTCTGCTGCATGTCTGTTCAGCTGGCCGTTGAGAGGAGAAAGGCAAACATGTAAATCCACGCTCAAATATACCAAGCTGTCTCATTTACATTTCTGTTTCGCTTACTCTCGTTCTGGGCTCTAATATTTCTCGTTTTTAGAGCTTAGCTAAAATATTTATTTTTCCAAATTAAACTTTACTGTGGGGGAATTCCCAGATTGGTACATGTAGTATCAAAAGTACACATTTTAAGGACAAATGTCTCCTGTTACTGATATATTTGAGTTTGTTTATGTAATTCAGTGTTTCCTAACTCCCTTCCAAAGGGTCCCAAGACAATTTGTGAGATAATTAGGATCTCATTAAGAAGGGGAAATTAAATGTGCCAATTTGTATACAGATTGGAATAGTACCATGAAGATTTGACCTTGTTGATCCTGAATTTGCATTAAGGGCCACCAGCAGGTTGAAATCGTCACATATCCAGTGAGTTATATCTTTAATATATGAAATGGCCCAAGAATAAATCTTTGTTTGATTCACAGTTCTTTCATCTAGTGCCTTTCTTGTTGGATATTGGATTGATTGCCATGATATATTCTACTAACATTTCTGGTCCCCTTAGGTTGACTCCTGTCTTTGCTGATCCTTTGTTGATCCATCATGACTTTCACATTTTGTGGTTTACAGTGAAATATCTTGGCAGCTAGATGGACCGCCATGAAATTGTATACGGATTGTCAAAGTCTGCTATAGGTTGAATCCCAATGACATCCTCTGACTGGTCAAAGCTGTCTATTATTCATTAAAATATCTCATCGAGTAATATACTGATTGGCCAAACATCATCAGGTATCTATTGTTTTATTATCTTTTTTTTCACTGTTGCTTTGTCAAACCCTTGCAAAGAAACATTTCCCTGTCTCTATTTGTCTCCTCCCTGAACATGTGGGAGTGATCTCTCACTCCTTCCCCCTGCTCTGTGACACTCTGCGCTCTTCCTCACGCTGAGGAAAAGAAAGAGGAGGAGGAAATTAAGCTTCCGTTTATATTTCATTAGCAGCCGCCTTTCAGAGCAGAATCTATTAATACCATTTATTCAGAAAAGCTTTTATTGTCTCTACAGGGAGAGCGGTTAGCGGCAGTGTAATATAATAAAGGGACAGCCTTCAGAATGACATGTCTCTCACACACACAGCCATGTTGATATTGGTGATAAGTGAGTGATCCATACGAGAGCAGCCCCGGTTAATGGTGTAATGATATTTCCACTCCTGGCTCCTCGTTGGCCCATCTGCACCAGTTAGCCGCTCTAATTTTAGCCTCGCTGATCGGTGGGGGGCGATGGGGGCCGGGTGCCATGGCTCATTAAGACACAGGCTTAAT